TTTTAGATTTATCATTTTGTTATTTTATAACTTAATTGCATTATGTTTAGAAAATGTTTCATTAGATACTCTAAAAACATTTTAAAGTTTCAGATTCTCTTTCTGGCCTATATGGTCAGATTTTATAAATATTCAATGTGTCCTTGAAAACAATGTGCATTCTTGATTCTTGGGTGCAGGCTTCAAATATATACCCATTAAATCAAGTTAATTGTATTCTTCAAATATTGCATACCTTGTCCAACTTTTTATCTGATTGTCTATTTGTCTTAACAAAAATGGAAAGATAAGGTTTGAAAATTTCCCATGATACTAAATGTTTTGCCAATTTATTCTAATCAGATCTAACAATTTTGACTTTCTATATATTTTTTTAAAGATTTATTTATTGGGTGCCTGGGTGGCTCAGTTTGTTAAGTGTCTGACTCTTAATTTCAGCTCAGGTCATGCTCTGGGGGAGAGATCAAGCCCTGCGTTGACTCCACACTCAGTGAAGAGTCTGCTTGGGATTCTCTCTCTCTTCCTCTTCCTCTGCCCGTTCCCCTGCTCACTCTGTCTCTCTCAAATAAATAAATAAAATCTTTAATTTAAAAAAAAGACTTATGTTATAGAGTGTATGTAAGCAGGGGGAGGGGTAGAGGGAGAGACAGAAAATCCTGAAGCAGACTTCCTGCTGAGCATGGACTCCCATGCAGGGTGTGATCCCAGGACCCTGAGATCATGACCTGAGCCCAAATCAATAGTCGGCCACTTAGCCAACTGAGTCACCCAGACACCCCAACTTTCTATATTTTAAGACTATTTTGGTATGAACATACAAATTTAAATTTACATAATTTTCTTATTGATTGATCTCTTATTAAATAGGACTTTGTTTCTAAAATAATGCGTCCTTTAAAGACCCTTTTATACTAACATAGCTAATACAGATTTTCTTCTGATATTTTCAAACTCTCATGTCCTCATAGCTTCAGTATATTTCTTGTAAATAGAATATAATCGGACCATTTTCCATGTAACATTATAATACTGATCTGTTGGCTGCTAAATAGAGCATATTTACATTTATTTTTTCATTACTATTATATTTTTAACTCATGTCTACAGTCTTACTTTATGCTATTTGGCCTCTTTTTAGCTTTTCTTCTCTTTGACTTTTTTTTTCATTTTTTAAAAAAATTTATATTTAAATTCCAGTTAACATATAGTATTAGTTTCAGGTGTACAATTTAGTGATTCAACACTTACATACAACACCCGGTGCTCATCACAACTGTCCTCCTTAATCCCCATCACCTATTTAACCCATCCCCCCTCCTCTATGGTGACCATCAGTTTGTTCTCTATAGTTAAGAGTGTTTCTTGGTTTGCCTCTCTATTTTTTCCCCCTTTGCTCATTTGTTTAGTTTCTTCAATTCCATATGAGTGAAATGATATGGTATTTGTCCACAATAAGATAGCATCCCACACCTGTCAGAATGGCTAAAATCAACAACACAAAAAACAACAGGTGTTGGTGAGAATGCAGAAAAAGGGTAATTCTCTTGCACTATTTGTGAGAATGCAAACTGGTGCAGCCACCCTGGAAAACAGTATGGAGGTTCCTCAAAAAGTTAAAAATAGAACTACCTTATGATCCAGCAATTGCACTAGTAGGTATTTACCCAAAGAATACAAAAATGCTAGTTAAAAGGAATACATGCACCCTGATGTTTATAGCAGCATTATCAACAATAGCCAAATTATGGAAACAGCTGAAGTGTTCATAGACTGATGAATGGATAAAGAAGTGGTGTGTGTGTGTGTGTGTGTATGTGTGTGTGTGTGTATCATGGAATATTAGCCATAAAAAAGAATGAAATCTTGTCATTTGCAACAATGTGGATGGAGCTACAGAGTATCTTTGATTTTTTAAAAATAGATTTTTTTCCCATATAGATGAAGTTTGTGTAGATGTATTTTCTGCTTACCAGTTTCTGTGCTCATTCTTCTGTCTTGAAGCCTAAACATCTACTTTGGGATAATTTTCCTTTTTTAAAAGTACATCCTTTTAAAAGTAAAAGTACATTCTTTAGAAGCTACTTTAGTGACCGCCTGTTGGTAGCAAATTTAGCTTTTGTGTATCCGAAACAGTTTTTCACTCTTACTCTTAAAAGTAATTGTTGTAGGTACACAATTCTAGATCAACACTCCCTATCACCACCTTATCTCGCACCTCCCTAGCACTTTGACAATAATGATTTCTTTATCTTCTTTTCCCATTGTTTCTCTTAAGAAGTCAACTGTTAGAAGAATTATAGTTTACTCCTTATTCTCATATACTCCACTGCTGATCAGAAAAGTTTCTTTTCACTGGTTAAGGTTTCCCTAAATTCCTAGAAGTCCAGAATTGCATTTAAAAAGATTTTTTAAAATTCTTTTATCTAGTATCTATATATGTCAGAGACACTTCAAAATATCTAGTTTTCCCTATTGTGGGAACTTGACATCCTTCAGCCTTTGCCTTTCAAGCAGTAGACTGAAGGTTTTCAGAAACTGGGAGAGTTACTTTAATATCTCAGTAACCTGGATTCCTTATCTCTGGAACAGGAGTAGTAATTATGAATACCACAACACAGTCGGGTTGTTTCATGAATTAAATGGGCTAATGAATGTAAAGGAACTAAAACAGTGCCTGGCAAATTGTAGGCACCCAGTAAGTGGTGTGGTGTTCGTGGGGGTGGTAGTATTAGTAATGGGAATTCCCTCTAATATAGTAGTTCCTAAAGGGACACTCAGGTCTTCTACTATAGTGCTAATGTAACTTTAAATATAATTTTAAATTATTGAGGTAAAAACTATAATTCATTAATCATGACACTACTAAATCTCTCTGCACAATTGAAAAGTGGCATATATTAGTCTTTCCAATGAGATTTAAAACTCACTGACAGCAAATTACATTATATTTTATTTGTATTCTCCACTGAGCCTTACACAGTGCGCAGTGCATAGCAGATTCTAAGAAATTACAGCTATATAGTTTTTTCAACACTTTTATTTATCTGGCTTTATTCTACCCATACTTTCCCTGTCCTGTTTTGAGAATTAGTTCTGTTCTAAGAACATTGCCCTCTTTTCTTGCCAAATTCATTTCCTTCAAGAATGGATTTAATGTTTATCTTGCCTATTGAGCTTTTATTAAGTAAATAAAAACTAAATGCTTTCTTTGCAAACACTAGAAATGCTGGCTATAAAAAAGAGTGGAAAATTTTAGTGCGGTAAGAAAAAAATAAAGAACATAAAATTATACAGATTTAATTCATCTCTCAAAGCAAAGTTTTTTAAATGTCTTTTTTGATGTGTTCATGGAGCCATTTTGTATCCATCAAGCTGAATCCATTTTGCTGACATTGTTTTTGTGGTCTTTATTCTAATCAGGTGGAACTGAGAGCACTGGTAGTGGAGTGGTGTGTGTAGAGATTTCCTGAAGATCTACCTGTTCTCCCAGTCCTCATCCCCCATACACAGAATTTATTATGTGATTTGGTTATCACTTCCTCATTTTTTACTGGATTAAATTTTGATATAAGAGATATTAAATTTCCTTATTTTTCTAATTGTGATGTTTATATTTAACACTTATTAATATGAAGAAAACACAATACCTTTTCTATGACCCATTTAATGGAATGGTGCCTATGAAGCATACAACACCCAATCTCTATTGCTCTTCTTCTATCTGTATATCATGAATTAAAGAGGACAAAATTACTTGCCATAAGTTAAATCTAGTTTTCTCTTAAGTATATTATGTCCAAACCTTTATTATCATCCCAGTGGGAGGTAAGGTTAGTTGTATCTTTTCTTCAGTTGTCCAAGTTCTGCAAACAGCGTATACCAGAAGGGCCATTTATCCCTTTGGCAAAATATTTAGGAATCTTTAAGTTCATCTAGTCTCACTTTTATAGAATTCATTTTTATCATTTAAAAAAATCATACTGCTCAACAGTCAGAAATATAGACTTTTATAGGTGAAAAAATGTCTTCATGTCCTGTATTCGTTAAAAAATTTTTGCTTTAAAATAGCAAAAGCATATAGAAATTTTAAGTACTCTCAACAGATCAGTTTTAACTGTTTAATCATATATATCTATCATGATGGTTGAAATGGTAAGACATTTCTTTACTGATTTAGTTTTCAATCACTTTATGCAGCAATGATTATATTTACTTTTTGAGATCCAGAATCTAGCTGGCTCAATTTTTATTTTATTTAAATGCTTTTGTGAGTCTTTTAAGATCTCTGAGTGCAGTAATGTTGCCATTGAGTGAGCATTATATGTATAGTCAGTAATAATGAAGTATTAATATTAGTTTTTCCTTGACTAACTGCAGGATTGGGAATAATAATGACAAATAATTATATCTTCTGCACAGATGTATGCTACTTGAGCAGAACACTAAGAGCTTCCTAATAAAATGAGTCTTCCTCTTCCAGATCTCTTTGCTCAGGTAAACTGTCTTTTCATTTTATGGATGAATTTGCAGTCTAATTAATTTTCTTCTATCTTTCAAAGGAGGCCTTTGGCCATGTAATGACAAGGACAAATTTGCCTTCCTCTATGTTCCATGGACACCAGGATTTAGACAACTGCATTAGCAAATATAGCTTGGCAACAGATTATCTGGAATCAATTCTAAGAGTGACTCATCCTTCCTGACACTCTCTCCAAAGGCAAGCCCTTCTGCAAGAATAGCCCTTGCTTTCTTCTGAACACTGATACACATGCCCAGAAAACTGAGAGGGGAAGATAGTCTAGATGGAATAAAACAAAATGCTCACCTCACTTTAACTGCAGTAATCCCCAAAGAGCAATTGTATTATAGAAATAGTAAAGGAAAAAATTATGGAATCGCTACCATAATTTTTCCTTTATTTTAAAAAATTGTTTTTAATTTATTTTCTTAAGGGGGCAAGGGGGATGCTGACTGGTTTGGTTTTGATCTGATAAATGCTTGTATCCCTCCCATAGTGCATGTAGGGTCATCTCATGTTTGAGGAACTCAAAGACAAGTAGGAGAAGTCCTCATCACTGGGCATCTTCCTTTTCTTTTAGAACCATCTTTTTGGCCTTGCTATGTGACAAAGAAAATTTATCTTAACCATAAACCTTTAGATTTATATAGCATTTTCATTTCTAAGACTTAGAGACTATGTGTCTTAGGTATAATTGGTATGCTTGTCTTAAAAGTCTCTTATGTCAGTGGAAGAATTTTTCCCTCTCTTTTATATATGTTATTACATAGTAACATTCAGTACTAATGTCTGAATAGAGCTTTAAAATTTATATTAATTCACAGACTAACACTGATTATATTCCCTACTAACCTAGTTGAATTTGAATTTATTATACAAAGTACAGATTTATCATGTGACCAAAGACTAAGCTAGATTCTTTCACATACTTTATCTCATTTTGGTTTATCTCTCCCATTTTGCAGAAAAAAATATGAAGCTTCATGTAGTTAAATATACAAGTTCACATTGCCAGAAAATTATGGACCAGTAAAGCCAGCCCTAAATTGCTGCTTTTATTATATCCCACCAGTATTGAAAAAATAATAATAATGGTATTTACTGAATATACTTACTTGAAATTGTATGTGCACAGGACTCTAAAGGCTTTATTTCACTTAAACCTCACAACAGTAGGACATAAATACTAGAATTACTCCCACTCTGTAGATAAGAGAATGAGAATTCATTGACTCACTACTCAGGTAGTGGGTTCCAGAGTGCATGCAGCTAGCTAATCATCATGTTGTGCTGCCCTTGAACATCTCATTTAAAACAGGACAGAATCAGGGGTGCCCCAGTGGCTCAGTCAGTTAAGCCTTTGACTCTTGATTTCAGCTCAAGTCATGATCTCAGGGTTGTGAGATCGAGCCCCATGATGGGCTCTGTGCTGGGTGGGGAGTCTGCTTCAGATTCTCTCTTCACCTCTCTCCTTCTGCCCTTCCCACCCAAAATAAAATAAGTAAGTAAATAAATAAATAACAACAACAACAAAAAACACTGTTTAAAAAACAAAGCAGGGGGGCGCCTTGGTGGCTCAGTTGGTTAAGCGACTGCCTTCGGCTCAGGTCATGATCCTGGAGTCCTGGGATCGAGTCCCGCATCGGGCTCCCTGCTCAGCAGGGAGTCTGCTTCTCCCTCTGACCCTCCCCGCTCTCATGCTCTCTCTCTATCTCATTCTCTCTCAAATAAATAAATAAAATCTTTAAAAAAACAAACAAAAAAATAAAAAAACAAAGCAGGATGGAAGCATTCTGTAGAACTTGATCATTCCTTAAGTATTTTGCACCCAACTGTATCCTGTATTCATTGTAGAAGTCACAGAATCACACTTCAACTGTAAGTTCTATCTTTCAGATATGAACTCAAATCTCTTTTCTGGCTCTACATACTTTTCCTTTGAAGGTAGAAATAATAGTAGAGACAAAGAGAGGTAAGTTAAACAAAGAGAAAATGAAGAACCAGCACTGAGCCAAGCCAAGGTGAAGATTGAGAAAGGGTGATAGGAAATCTCAACACACTTATGAACATGCTGCTAAAGATGTTTCTGTTTGGAATTTAAATCAAAATCCTAATTAAATTTCCTTAACTTACTTCCTAAAGGCCAAGTCTTTCTAGAGATAGTAGTTTGAACAAAGCCTAAGACCCTTGCCTTATTATTTTAAATGTTTTTATTTAAGTGCATTATACCAACAGAAAAGTGGTCAAATCACAAATATACAGCATAATACATTTTTACAAGCACCCACATCAAGAAACAGTACTACTGCCAATGGGGAAGTCAAAGTCATCTCTGTTGCAATCACTGCCTTTAACAGTAAGCATTATCTTGCCTTCCAACGGTATTTAGTTTTACAAGATGTACTTTATATAAATAGAGGATTATGCACTGTTCTCAAAATTATGTTTATGATTCCATATCATTGTATTTCATTGTAGAATGGTCACTCTTGTTGTATAGCATTCATTCTGTGATATAAAATTATGTATTTTATTTATTTATTCTACTATTTGTGGGTATTTGGGTAGTTTTCAGTTAGGGGCTAATGTAAATGGTGGTGCACTTGGACTCTATTAACAGCATCTTTTGATGAATAAAAGCCCTTAATTTTGATGTAGTACAATTTTTATATTTTTACTTTTATTGTTAGTGTTTAATATGTCCTATTTATCTAATTTATTCCAAAGTCATGAGGATATTCTCCTCTTTCTCCAAGTTTTATTATTTTACTTTTGCATATAGATCTGAAACCCATACAGAACTGACTTTTTCATCAATAGGGTTAAATAAGTGTCAAGATACATTTTTTCCATAGGGCTAACTCAATTGATCTAGCACTATTTTTTGAAAAAACTATCTTCCCTTACTGTACTGTGATGTCACATATGCTGTAAGTTGGTCAATGCTATATAGACAGAGACCTTTGACTTCATTTTTTTTTTTAGATTTTTAAAGTTTACTTGAGAGAGAGAGAGTGAGCCTGAGCAGGAGGAGGGGCAGAGGGAGAGAGAGAGAATCCTCAAGCAGATTCCCTGCTGAGTATGGAGCCCAATGCAGGGCTTAACCTGAGATCATGACCTGAGCTAAAGTTGGAGGCTTAACGGATTGAGCCACCCAGGTGCTCCAAGACCTTTGACTTCTAAAAAACTATATTCTAAAGTTTCTCCCTTTCTCCAGAAATAGTGAAAAGGAAAAGAATATGGGAATTTGCAGGGTGTGGGGTGGGGTGGGGAGGTGAATAGCAGACTAGTTGCCCTCAGTGCCTACACAAGATTAATATATTGAGAAATTTTCATATAAAAATCTGAATTTTCAGATTCTCTTTCAAAATTGAATAATCTAGAAACATTGAACACAAATTTCTATGTAGCACAATTTGGCTGGAGATGAATAACAGCCAAGCCCTTCTAATTGAATATGGTTTCCACATAAGCACAGTTGCCTTCATTCCCCACATGCTACATTCATTTATATTATTTATTTACCTTACTCTCCACCCGTATTTCTGATGCCAAAGACAGTGGTAGAGAATTTCTCTGTGGCTTTTTAGCTCATTTATCATCATTGAAAGATCTGTGTACCTGTGGATTTTGGCCCAATCCAAATAACTTTCTGGGCTCATTGACAGATATGTGGAGTGGAGGGGATTCTTCTTTGATAACCAAAGGAAAATGAGATGGCTTGCATAAACTAAATGCAATAGACTAGGGCTTAGTCCCAGCAGTCAAGTCATCCATCCAGGCAGAAATCCCATCCTCTCATTTGTCTTTTTGGCAAATGTGTTCTACGCTCCCTGCATAATGCAAATAAACTTCTACTTTGTATTATCCTAACACCCTAAATAAATTAAAAAAATGTCTGCCCAATTTTAACACACAAATACACTGTAATAATGCTAATATGCAAGGGAAATTTTTTCAAAAAGTTGTTTTTGAAACTTAGCAATTGTAATAACATTGGATGATGACAGATAGTGACTATACTTATTATGGTGAGCGGTAATGTATAGAATTGTTGAATCACTATGTTGTACATCTAAAATTAATATAACATTGTATATCAACTATACCTCAGTAACAATTTAAAAGACGCTTATCATTAATATTTATAAAAATGCAAATCAAAGCCAAAATGAGGTAACACTTTATACTCACTATAATGGTGATCAAAGAGATAACACACTGTAACTCATCATAATTAGCACTCATAATAATCAGCTTCTAACAAGAAATCCCTCTTGTGAACAAATGCATTCAAAATTCAATATAATAGTATTATTTCTAAGTATCTGTATGTCCCCCCATGACCACACTAATGGTAAGTCCTTTAAAGAAAGGGACTATGTCCCATTTATATCTCTACACCCACTGCTGAGTACATTGGTTCATATTGTGTAATCAATAACTGTTTGCTAAACTAAATGCAAAAAGTGTTGCTAAATGTGAATTTGTTGATTGAATTAGTTATTTCTTTTTTTAAACTAAGTTTTGCTTTCTGATTAAAAATAATAAATGTTTATGGGGCGCCTGGGTGGCTCAGTCGTTAAGTGTCTACCTTCAGCTCGGGTCATGATCCCAGGGTTCTGGGATTGAGCCCCGCATGGGGCTCCCTGCTCGGCAGGAAGCCTGCTTCTCCCTCTCCCATTCCCCCTGCTTGTGTTCCCTCTCTCGCTGTGTCTCTGTAAATAAATAAATAAATTCTTAAAAAAAAAAAAAAGAAAGTCACCCACAGTCACACTGACTGATGGGCAAGACTCTTAGTCCCGCCCAACTTTTTTTTTTAAACATATTGGTAATAGTAAAAGTACAGATCATATCTACATATAATTTTGTATCTTGTTTTTCTCTTG